AAATACTGTACTGCTCTTCCACTACTGTAAACCTGTTATTTTACTTATGTAATAACCTGAGGTTTTTCTCTGTGTCTTTATCAATGATTGGTGACATGACAGCCCCTGAGAGTTGAAGCCACAACATCTTGATCGCCCTCTCATTGTTGGCTGCAGTCTTCAGCAGTCATATCTGATTCATAACATCAGGATCATATCAGGATCACATCCACACCCAGCCGAGAGGTCATGTAAGGAAGGAATCCTTGCACATCACAGATCTGAATTTATTAAAAGACCGGAAACAGACTTCTTTCTTACACTAACATGAGTGGAAGACATTTAATAACAATTCAGTCATTAATTAATTCATACATTTATTTCTGCCATGATTGTGGCTGTTTAATGCATTGCTGACTTAATTATATTGAATTTGGTTCTTATAGTTAAGAAAGTTATCACAGACGCTGCAGATATGTAATATGTACTATTAACAACGGACATGATTATTTATGTTCCAGGTGAACCATTTAGTGTATGGCTTTGTTAACTGTTACTAAACTACTATACTAAACGCATTCAATTTCATGAGTATATGCACTACAATTATCTCAAACAGAATTATCAATAACAAAAGCTATACAAAATACAGTACTTTCCTAATTTCAGTTTAATATTACACAAAATCTCTGGCAGATTAGATTAGATTACTCCATATCTAGGCTGCACCCAAAAAAAAATGTATGTTGTTCAATGATGCCCCCTAACGGTGGCTTCAGGACTCACCTGATGCTTTGCTTTATTGAAACCAAAAGATGTATCGTGTACAGGCTGTGTGTGAATCATAGTGGGATCATGTGATAAAAGGTGTATCTTTGTATCTCATGACGTCAAACAGATTGTTTTCTTTTAAATCATGGTACAGTTGTAGCAACTGGAATCCACACATTAAATTGGAACTCATATAGCAGTAAATCAAATCAATACTGATACTCTTGGTGTAGGAGAATGTGTCTATTTGTGTTTGTCTTTTTCATTCAAATATAAGAGGGAAACTGACACATGGTTCTTTTTCTGCTCATTTTCACACCATTATT